ATAATAGGTTACATAATTAGATTAGATATATAATTAGAATAACTTAGAAAATTGTTAACATAACATTAGTAATAGCACATAGTTAACTTGAAAAAAACATTCACAAACCTGCACATTACAAAAAAGCTGAGATGGATAAATAATGGCTATAATCAGCAGAGAAAACTGTAACTATTATAAAATTCATAAATCTAATTATTGATGTATGCTCTCAGCTTCAGTCCAAATTAAAAACATACCTATACCAATTATTTTACACAGTTATTGTCTCTGCTGAAACACAGCCAACATGTATATATACATATATACATGAACAACCGTACATGTATATATGCATGACTGTTCATGTATGTATATGTACACATATGTATATTATACATATATTTACAAACACATTTGTAATAATTATATTTCAAGTCTTTGTGCGATATTAGTAAAATTAAATTTACAGCATATTATCTATCTTATTTACAGTGCAATATCTGCAAGCGTATGGTCGAAGAAGATCATATCTGTGATTATGATAATAGTACAACAGATGGTATTATAGAGAATAATAATAATAACACTACTGAATACTTAGAGCATAATAATAACACTAAGAACAAAGGTCACAACGATAGTGATTTGACAGACTTATATCAGAGGTTTTCATAAGAGAACTATTATGGAATTCAAAGCTTCCATACAAACAAAGAGGCCCAGCTGACATTAAATTATTATGGGCTCAAGTAGATACTTGTTTAGGTAAAGTTAATATTATTGTATTGCGTTATCTTGTAACTATAGTTTTTGCTCCAAGAAAAATTAAAATTGCATTGTGTAAAATGTTAAAAGTACATTTATATGTATATATTTATAGTACATTATATAAGCTTTAATTAAAACTGTGTATTATAGGTACAGATCCTGGTATAAGTCAAGGTAAATGGAAACATTTGAGAGATCGATTCGTCAAAGAGTATGGTATACAAAATACATATACTGCAAGTGGCAGTGCAACCAAAGCAAAGAAAACCAGTACTTGGTATTTATATGAAACGCTAAGTTTTCTTATTCCAACCATTAATTATAGGAAGTAAGTAGTAATATATGTAGTGACTTTTTAAATATATACGTAATCAATATATATGCATAAATGTATTTAATATAATATAATCACACATATATAAAAACATATAATAACATAAAATACATTATATACATACAATAAAATACAATAATAACATATAACATTGAAGTACACATAAACATAAAATTTAAACACATAACCAGGTAATATAAAATTTTAATTAAAAATGTTATACGTTATAGGACTAAAAGTAATCTGGAAAACGTGAACCCAAATAGACAATCAATGTCTTCAATACAAGATTCGACTCCTAATACTAGCTACTCACGAGAACAAGACTTATCGCTACAAACAAGTTACAGAAGTAACAATAATCCCGAAAATATGATAGATAAAAATTTATCGCAACAAAGCACACTAAGACCACGGTCAAGTGAATGTAAGCAAACTCTTTGTTATGAACAGATATATTTATCATTAATCCAGTTTCTTTAAATGTAGTATTTTCTAATATTTTTACATTTACCCGTTTCTCCCTCCCCTCCCTCTCTTTCACCCCTCTGCAGTTCTTTATTTTATACATTTTATTTCTTCACCTATAGGTAAGACACCTGTAGAGTCATCAAGAATCAACGAAGTGGCTTCGGAAGGATCAAATCGCAACAGTACGTAATTTTTTTGTTGTATTCCGTAACATTACACGCATATTCTTATATATAACTGCTTCTTTCCACAGATAATAAAAGACTCATGTCACAGTCCGAGGATCTTCAATCACCCAAGTCTACAAAACATATGAGTTTGTATAAAATGTTAGAAATGTTTTTATGAAGGCACTGTAATTACATTAAGTTTTGTCCTAATTTTTACAGAGAAGTCAAATATACCTGCGAACCCTTGTCTGGAAGAAGCACTTTTGACAGAATTGAAACAAACTCGACCCACAAAAGAACAGTATCAATCAAAACCTGATAAGATTGAAAGTTTTGTCAAATATATAGAGGCATGTCTTCGGGGAATGACTCCAGAGATTTCAAAACTTGTAATGAAACAAATTTTAAATTTGTTATTAGAACAAGATATATAAAAATTTTTAAAATGTTATATTTCTAATACATGCTTTATTATATAATATACATAATATACGCAATATATGTATAACTTTATAAGAATACAGTATTACAAATTATTATAAAGCACACTATAAGATAATAATAAAATTAATCCAGTTTCTTTGTACTTTTTTGTATGTTATATTTAATTATGTTTATGACAATGTTAAACCTGCGGCATACGATACATTCGTGATTGCATAAGAGCATTAGAATCGACCAATTGTACTTTTGAAATCAACTTCAATTGTGACTTGGAAATTAAATCAAATCGTTATGGTGTAAATTTACAGCATAATATTATATATCTTCTTTACAGTGCAATATCTGCAAGTGTAGTGTATGTGAAGAAGAGCATATCTCTATGATTACGATGATAGTACAGAATATATTATAGAGAATAATAATACTACTAATAAGAACATGGAATACAACGATAGAGATTTGACAGAGACTATTATAACAATTTTCATAGAGCTTTTTTATACTACATCGCATGTGAGCACCACGATTTGATTTGATTTCCAAATCACAATTGAAGTTATATACATATATATGTGTATATATATATATATATATTTCAAAATTCTCATTAAACCTAACACCTATAAAACGCAATATAAATTATAAGTTTGCGTTTTATCAATAACTGTATGAATAAAAGAGATTAATATAATAAATTAATAATATAATAAGTAAATCTCTATATTCTATGAAATATTATGTTGAAAATAATAGTAATAAATTTTGAAACAATTTATATCATTAGTTCTTGCCAAGAAACCTGACCTTCGTTTATAAAGTAATCTGCAAAAGTATTTCGAATGTCACTTGCGTTTCTTGCATAATTATTACTGCCACAATTGGACAAACTTCTGAAATTTGTACGTTCATCTATAATTGTTCTCCACTCTCCA